GCCTACCTATGCAGACACGCCTCACCAACGTCCAAAATTCCTACTAGTTGTAAACGATTTGGTTAAGGATTTGTTTGCAAAAATGGAAAAAATTAAAATCCCGTTTATTACCATTGTCCATTGAGTCCATCCCATCCAAAGAATTGCCAGTCGAGTGAAGAAAACTAAAAGCAAGAGACGTAAAGAATACCGAATCTGTATTCCTTTTTTGTAATCAATTACTACAGTACTGAGATATATATATATACAGCAATACAAAAATATGTTTGTATCTATCTGCGCCTGATATTAAGCTTATGAACGTTGCCATTTGACCGTTGCGTCAATGTGCTTTGCCTTTGATTTTTGTGAGATAATTTCCTTTTCTTTTTTGATGATTGTTTCCTTAGCTGATTAAGTTTTAATTCCTCAAATTCTGGTTTTGATTCCTCAAGCTTAGCTTCCTTCTTCACATCGAGTTCCGTTAGGTGACATGCTATTGGGTGAGCTATGCTGGTCAATCCACGTGCATGTAGTGATCCTTGCAGAGTATATTTCATATGAGGAACGACTTGCAGACAAAGTTTATTAAAATGGCTGACGTGGAAGTTTCTTACTATTGATCAAATACTGTTAGGGGAGCAAGAATTTCCCCTGCATCGCCCTTCTTTTGCTAAGACGATTTGCGCTTATGCACTCTCCCACTTCAAGAGCAAATTTCTCCCAAAATTCGTATTACATTGTGAATTTAAGATATAAGATAGGAATTCGATTTTTCCTTTTTTATGGAATGAATTAAATTCTAAAATCGAGCTATTGCGCGTTTTCGTTTGTATTATATGGTTTTAGTAATAATTAAATGAAAAAAGTATTTTATAATTTGAATTGATAAAAGTTAAATATATCTTTTGATATTGAAAATCTTCCTTTCCTCAAATAATTTTTGTTTTACAATTTGAATCATCAATCTAAACTGTAAAACAAGATTTTCACAATTAAAAGTAATAATATTAATTTATAAATAAAATTAGGTTTTTTTTTT